AAAACAATTGACAAGCGTTGAATGCTTCGTAGCAGTGAATATACGATGTCTCAGCAAGATGACTTAGTTGAATCGGTAGCCAGGAAGGCCATCAGTCGTTTACAGGAGAGTCAAACGCAATCCATTGTAGCGGAAGCGTTAGGATTTTCCCAAAATGTCATTTCCAGATTATGGAATCGGATTTTGAAAATTAAATATATTTGAGAAATTCCGGACAAGGTCGTGTTATCGTTTTAAAATAAAAAGCGGGAGATATACATGCATTTCGTTTAAAAAAATAAAAATATATCTCTTGTTTGGAGAAATAAAGTGGTCAGAAAGAATGTTTTGGTTGATGTACTGCAAACATTTTATTACACGTTTTATCAGAAAACTCAAGAAAATAAATAATTAATTATATTACAATAGTTATTAATTTTAAATATAATATATTTTCCAGAAATCGATCAAAATAAAACTGAAATTTTCAGGAAAATCTTGTTTGGAGACCATTTGGCGCCCCTCTACGAGCGGCGCCCGGGGCATCATGCACCCGTTTGCTCCCTCCTCGCTACGCCACTGCTCAGGAGTGTGTTTAAAACATTTAGGCATATTGTTATATCCCAGCACTTAATTCCATTAATAAAGTAATTTCAGATACTTTGTTAAAATAATGAAGGTTTGGGTTTATTAAATTACGGCAAAGTAAGTATTACGGCAATCTGCCTAAGCGGAAGTACACCTTCATGAAGGATTTTTCAAAGAGACTGGCCCGAATTTATGCTGCACCTGGGAAAAATCACGAAACCTCCCATGCAGCTAGCCTGTTCGCCGAGATTTGAGTTGAGGCCGAACTACCAGTGTGTAACGACTTTATCCGCTCTACTGTTAGTAAGGCGATGAAAGAAAAAAAACTACTACAGAATTTTATCTAAAACACAAAAAGTAATATAAAGAAATTTACCTGCAATATATTTTTAACATTAACTAATTAAGTTTTAGGGCCACTAAAAATATAAAACCGAAGATAACATGTTTCTTGAAATTATTATAAATGTTAATTACATAATTGTCATGTACATACTCGGTAAGGGGATGCTACCGACCAAGCCTGCAGGAAGAACAGTTAAGCCAACGATTTATAGCTGAAAGGAGAGAGGAGAAAATTCTGGCAACGAGAAGAAGAAGCGTGCTTGATGCGAGAAGGACGGCATGCTCGTGGAAAAAAAATTTAAAAATTAGATTTTCTGTATTCCGAGAGTTTTTTTTTTTTTTTTTTTTTTTTTTTTTTTGTTAAGAACTGTAAGGTGCAATGTATTACTTGTGCGTTTGATGTAATTGTGAATAAAAACAATACTTTGTGAAAAGATAATGTATAGTTACAAAATTAAAAATATAGCTCATGTTATTGTTAAACCTGCATAAGTGTCCCAGTTTATTTCCTGCAAATAGAGTTGACTAATAACATTCATAAGTGGATGGAAACGAACCGACAAATTTGACCAATTGACATTTTTGACAATAATAATTATCTGTTTAAGATTTTACTGAAAGCCTTAGTTTTAAGGAAAAGCATTTTGTCGTTGAATAAGCCGTCAGTTTCAACACCATTAAAATAACACATTTCTTTGGTACTTTGCATTGTATAAAACAACTGAAATGTATTGAACAGCTTCTGTACCTTTCATTCATATCACTTTGGCTTTATTTCCTCTAATGTCATTTTTTTCCTTTTTTGTTATGAGATTGAGGCATATTTTCAATTAAGAAATATACCCTGCTTTAAAGTCATGATGGTTTAGTCTGTTAATTAATTTATCGCTTTTCAGTAATAAGAAACTAAAGCCAATGTTTAATTTAAATTCAATGATAATTCCGGTGACTGAAGTTTCTTGAGGTTTAAAACTTCATACAGCATATCTTTATGTTGACTTTCCTGTATGGCTTATTCTACTGACAGCTTATGTTTATAATGTATGCAGTTGTAAATTTTAATTCCCATATAGTTCTTCTATGAAATTATGAAGATTAAGTTTTTGCCGTCCTGTTCGCATAATAATAAGGAAGCCATCTAGGCTTTCGCCCAAGTTGGAATCATTCAGAAGAAGTAGATGCTTTGGTGTATAGTGTCTGCGACATGGGAGCACTTAAAATACAGTCGAACCGACAGCCCTTTCAAGAGGTGAGGTTGCTATAGGGGAAGAGTATTAGGAGACCCTAGGATCCGTGGGGAATACAGTAAGGAGATTTTTTTCGTATGGTCTAAAAAGTGAGCACAGAAATAAAAGTCATGAACTGAAGTCTTAAATTCAGTTCCTAACTAATCACGGCCATTCCTCACTATACGTGCAAATTCAAAAAGCACGATAGAGATTTATGCGAGTGAACAAAGGCAAGAGATGCGGACTACTGTGCGTTCGAATGACTCTTAGCAAATGAAGTGGCCCATGACCAAATTACAGCATATTAACTGGCCAACAAGTAGACATGCCAGCACATTATGCAAGAGGCACGCATATACCCACAAAAACTGCATGGGGACCACGCTCGCGTTTGTTTTGAACTATATTGATGTTAAGACCCACGCCTATTTATTGTTCAAAATACATCTGTACCCACCGTATTCTAGTATTCAGTATGAACATTATGTATGCATTTGCTAGTTAAACATAATCTATACCCAAGTACTGCATTTAATATATTTACACATCAATACACTGCATTGTATTTTGATTTGTTACTTATATCAGAATTATGACAGTAGATATTTTTCTCTCTATCTTTTTATTTTTATTCCTCGCGGATTAGATCGAGCATGCTTGCATTATATTTGTATTGTCCTTATTCTTTTCACTGCACACTTGTTCAATATGATAGCATATTATCTGCCCCTTGTATGACTGAACGCTGTATGCGAACGCTGTAGCTGTTCGTTTCAATATAACAATGTATCCCTCCATTTACTAGTATTGGTGTTATTATTATTTTCTTCTACGAATTTACAAATCCCACTATTGGTGAGATACATTAGCTGCACGCTCAAATGCTGATAAGCTGCCCTGCTAGAGCAGAATTTCCCGGCAAAATTGAGAAAGAGTGGGGCACACTCGTTCTGTCACAGATACGGTACCCAAGCGTAAGCCAATGGCAGGGCTCTTGCTCAAACCTTGGAAGATCTTTGTCTTGACCCCGATAAAATTAATGGACCTGTAGATTTATATCAGGAGAATTAGAAACAAAAGCAACAATTACAATGTTGTAACAAATGAATATTGTCGGCAATGCGCTGTACCGACGGTATAGAGAAAATACTCAATTCAACCCACGAGAGTTGCAGAAGTGAGATGTGATTGTTTGAACTCACGCTTTGAACTTTTAAAACATTTTAATGTAATTCCACTATACAGTTTTTATCGTTTCCCTGTATGTTGTTGTTAGGCGATAATAAAACGCCATTTAAAAGTATCTCCTAAATTGATTGATTGATTTTCTAAGGATATACTACAATGTTAAGTTTATGATTTTTACTTCGCTTCAAATAGCCAATTATTTATGCAAAAATAAAGTTTCTCTTTGGCATTCCACCGACGTTTTGGATATTAAACAAATTTGAAAACAGTATAAAATTACCTCTACTCTGCTCATAATATAAATTATAATGTTCTTAAATTTTTATAATTTACTTTAATAATAATTTTAAATTACCCTTTTAAAAAACTGGTATGCTTTGTAATGTCGAAAAAGAAAACAGATGATTCAGACCTCAGGGATTCTAAAAGAAAGCATCCGACAGGTATTTCTCACCATACCTACAGATATGCTCTAAAGTGCTGTTCACAACAATACCTCGATTACAGGTATTGTTAATGAATGATGGCCGACATGTTGAACGTATGTTATTAAGAGTATAATCTTTGCTAAAAATCAATTGTTGTGTTGATTATTACTTTTGTTATCATATGAAGCGCCATCTATTGGCTGTTTTAAGGATTTGTTTTTTGCTTTCTATAAAACCCCATGACATTTCAAGCAGGTGTATCAGTTTTTACCTCTGTGACTACATTATTCAGTAAATTATTGAATTTTCAAATGTTTACGGACTTATGGATCACCCTGTATTTAAATTCAGAGTTTCTTGGGTTTGAGAGAAAGCCCTTTGGTAACCATAGCTAATCGATTACTTTGCAACAAAACCTGTTACTGATTTAAATTGCTTAATCGTCTTTAGCTTCGCTAGCCGTTATTACTTTCTGAAAATAATGTGTTACTTTGTATTAAATGTTTTAATTTGACTGGAGCTTTTGATCTGTGTTTTCTAGCAGTTAGCGGAGATTCGATTTCCTGTTACTGTTATCACTTTGTGTAACCGTCAGGCTGAGTTGTCAATAAAAAGGTTAGTTTTAAATATTTATCTGAGTTGGCGTTGCTCTACTTCAGAAGCTCTCATTTTAAATTTTGTGCCACATAAATACGAATAAGAAAATAAGTGCACCAAAAAGGGCATCATTTTACAATTTTACATACATTTTAAACATTTATTTAACTTTAAATTAGTACAAAAATTCTTATAGTAAAGGAATAGATAGTAATGAATAGTATTAAAATTATAGCCCCAAAAATAATGTAATGTACCATATCAGTGGTACATACATCATAGTTTAAATCTTTACTCATCTTAGCAGGGAAGATGGATTAATAAGTTATCTATCATTCTTTAGGGTTCTAGAAGTCGATAGTTAACACAGAGTGAAATCGCACAAGTCTATTTAACGAATAAATTATTATACCTCCGGGTTTTTTATTAAGGCATATTGCGTGTAATAGTTTGAAAGCGATTCTAAGAAAAAATTATAAGTAAATGAATTAGTTTTATTCCTAAGTAAATTTACAAACATTGATAATATAATATTACCAGGACTTGCATACTTGTCACTGATTCCGATTAGTAGACTTTACTTAGTGACAAGAAAAGATCTTACATTGTTTGCGGTGTTATGTGTTTCGAGTAGAAAGGTATTTACTTATGTCTTTACCGCCAAAGAAGTCATTACCCCCAAAGAAAGTAGAATTCCAGGACTGTCTTGCAACAGCTTCTCCATCATTTGGATCTCCTCCTTCTGATATAGTTTTATTCAGGGAATACGCATACAAGAGAGTGCAGTCGTAGAATGACCCAACAATCGGATTGATCTGAAAATTGAAAGGAAAAAAAAGCATTAATGCATAAATATTTTTATGTTTTGATTAACAAAGAATAGCACTCATTAGAAGCATTGCAAAAGCGTTTTCTCACTTGTTTAAAATAGGTTGATTCTAAGAGGGACATTCCATTAAAGGCAGAATAAAAGCATCGAGTAATTAATTGTAAATTTATTAACTTTCCCTTTTAATCAAGAAAAGCATTTCACCCAAATTATTGTTTAACTACTTTCCTGTAATAATAATTAACACTAGATGTATTAAGCAGTCGTTGATCATTTTCAGATTTTAAGGATATGTGAAAACTTGTGCTTAACAGCTGTTGCTTTATCAAGTTAGGATCATTACCTAACTTGTTAACTGTACTAGAATGCCCCAATTCCCCCCCCCCACAAAAAGTCTTTGTTTACGGCATATACGTTCAATCAACGCTGGAGCTCCAGTAACACATCGATGATGCTTAGCTTTAGGTTAGGTTATTTTAAGTATGGCAAAGCACATGAGGGTATCTGCTGAAGGAAGGGATGCATTCGTGGAATACTCTCTAAGGGAAACTAGCTGGTATTCACGTTACATATGGGTAAACCAAATACGCAGCCATCCCACTCGCTTGGGTTCAACCCAGGTCACATAATTCATTAGTGCGCATCAGTATCGCCACTGAGGGAGGAGTTTCGAAAATGGACCAATGAGCTTCTATTGCTCTTGTGACGCTGAATCTTTGAAACTGAGCATATGAGCGTATGTTGTAGTTTACGTTTCATTTAGCATTTGTTTCACAATTAGAAATGTATGACGTATAAATGATGCTATCATTTTAGTAGAAAATCTCGTAGTGCTTTCCTTTTATAAGTTTATTTAATTGTCAACATTTCATTTTCGTGAATCTTCTCACGCGCCGATATTCGGATTAATTAATGTTCGTGGCATATTATCGTTCTTTATATTGGGAAAATGACTCAAGCTACAATTAGCCTCGAATATTATGCATTCACTAATACTTGTGGATTAAGAGAGTTCAAGTGTATAATTTCTTTATTGAGATAAAAATAACTGGGAGTGTTACAATTTTCGTATCTCAATATTTGCATTCCTTTGATTTTGAAATGTAAGGTTCAAAATATATATTGTGAATGATCTGATTATACCTATATTTTATATTATATACATATTAAGCATTGCTTACATACCTATTGTTAGCATTAAAAGTTATATGGGAATAAATAAAACATATTCGTTGTGAATAAGATAAATTCATTATGTCTGAAGATTTTTTCTTCTGCACATTTGAGAGTGAATGGTTATTAATGTGAAAGTTAACACACTAAAGTTCTAGTAAAGTTCCCTTTGAATAAAACTGTGCATTGGCTATTATTATGGGACATCTTTTTCATATAGACTGCAGTAAAAAATTCTAAGACTTCTACTGTTTACACATAACATTCTGCTTAAATATGAACTAACTTCGCCCTGAAAATTTAACAAGAAATCCACGATGCTTTAATTATTTGTACAGGAAATTGCATGGCAAAACATTTTCAACCATCTAGCTTAAAGCGCCTCGAAGTTCATGTGAAATGACAGAAATATTACTGGAAGCACACTGGTCCATTATAGAAGCCATTCCCACGGTGGCGATACAAATGTGCACTCACGAAATACGCATCCGGGTCAAACTATCAGTATCCAGATGTCTTAGCGACTTATACACTGGTGTACTGCCTTCGATGATGGCAAGATCAATCTATCGATAAGCGAAAAGGATCTTCACATTAGAACTTTACATAAACCAACTTTTAATTGTCTCTACAGGCAAATAACATAACCCGACTTTTAATACTTTATTTAATAAATAATACTAACATAAATCGAATTTTAATAGCATAAACGGACTTTCATTTGTCTGTACAAGGAGAGGTCGATGGTACCAGATTTGGATTTCTTAAGAGCTCTTCAGCTCTCCATTGGCTACTTGAAGATTCACGCTAAACTCAAGTAGACACCATTATTTTTTTTACCATACATTACCCTACAGGGGCAAGCGAATTTATAGAAATTATCTTTTGCTATTTGCAAGCGTAGCCAAAATAAATCAGGACTTATGTATGGGCAACCGGTGACACCGCCAGCCTTAGGAAAGATTTGCTATGTCGGTTGCACCAGGCAACAGCAGCACCACGGCACCAGAATGGTACTGTCGGCCCCAGGAAGGCGTTGCTACTCTGGATAGCTAATGCAAGGTGTGCATGCCTACTTACTCAGGGCAAATAATATGTGGCCCCTGCACTTATATCTAACCTAAGCTATGTTTACCTTTCTGTGTTGGGAGGATTTCCTTGTTTTACACAGGAGCTAAACTACACTCTATGGCCACAAACATTCTCCAGGGTACCGGAGGGATGGCGAAGATGTTCAAATATTTCAACTGGCTCAGAGTTTACTGATACGTGCATCGCTGACAATGTACTGTCCTTTTTTAATTACCATTCTCAAGAACTTGATGGAGTACTAGGAGACCCATCTGATGAAATTAATAAAACAGCAGGAAATAAAATAAATAAGAGAAATATTTCAAAACTTACAGAATGTAGTGATAAACATCCAAATAGGAAACAATGAATTAAAAGTACATCTACTTGATAAACAGAACATGCAAATTGGAAAGTATGGCATTAAATAGTAAAAGGAAAGGGGAAAAAAGGCAAGAAATGGTTTACACTGAAAAGGTTAAGCAAAGACCTAGCTCAAGATTTAGAGATCAAAAATCTCTAAAAAAAAAAGCGGAATTTGTCACCACGGTTTACCCAGAGGAAAAACAATCAAACATTAGAACAAATTAAATAGAAATTGGTCAAATTTATACCTCAGATACAACTTAAGATTGCAACAGTGCAAAACATTAAGAAATGAGAAGTCTTAATTAAGGTCACAAAAATGATGATCTGATGATCATTGAAATGCAATAACTGAAAATGAAAATTTGAAAAAAAAAAACAGTTGGTGGTCAAACGATCAAAGAAAATCAATCCAAAGATTAGGACATACAGCGGCTGTTCGCATATTTTTTAGACGATTTTGCCTTGCTGTGAACAATTATCTTCTGCTTAAAACATTTTTAACTGCAACTATATTTTTAAAAGTATAAATTATCGTCTGCTACTTGACACTTTTGATTTCATGCAAAGTGTCACTTTTAAAGAAGCGATGGATGGATGTTTGTGTTCTTTCTATGTTTGTGTTCTTTCCGAAGAAAATTATTCGTCTCTAGTTATTAAAAAACGTTATGAAAGCCATGGGTTTCGAAATCTAAAACTACATTAGGTAACGTTAGATCAACAACAATGGAAAAAAGCGTACAAATTTAGCTTCAAGTGGAAAAATTGCTCCAAATACTTATCTAAGAAAAAAAAAACGGAATGCTTCGAATGTCGCAAAAGTAAGATCTTTGATCTTAAAAGAAAATCCGCCAAGTCGAAGGATAGTTGCGAAATGTCAACTCGGTGTCAACTGCAAACAAAGTGGTTAATGCTCATCTGAATCTTAAAAAAGCGAAAAAACATAATGTGCATAGTTTTTCTCTACGAAAAGACAAAACAAGCAGCGACACGTTAACGTGTTAGATTTTAACGTGTCGCTGCTTGTTTTGTCTTTTCGTAGAGAAAAACTATGCACATTATGTTTTTTCGCTTTTTTAAGATTCAGATGAGCATTAACCACTTTGTTTGCAGTTGACACCGAGTTGACATTTCGCAACTATCAAACTTGGCGGATTTTCTTTTAAGATCAAAGATCTTACTTTTGCGACATTCGAAGCATTCCGTTTTTTTTTTTCTTAGATAAGTATTTGGAGCAATTTTTCCACTTGAAGCTAAATTTGTACGCTTTTTTCCATTGTTGTTGCTAATTTCCTGGAAAAAATGAAAGAAGAAACTCTTATCCCTACTAAATCTCCTGATGTATCACGAATGTATTTTTGCGCTTTTGGACGTTTAAAAAGCGGGTTATTCAAACGTCGACTTACAGCCTCCTTAGACCTTTGGAAAACTGTTCGAGAGCAATGGAATAAAATACCTCTTCCGATACTATAAAAGGCTTTACTGTCTTGGAAATTACGTTGTATTAAGATAATGAAGAATAAGAGTTATAAAATGGAACATTTGAAGCATAAAAATTTTAGGTGTAATATTTCTGTAATTAAAATGAAAATCGTCTAAAAATGTGCGAACAGTTTCTGTATAAAGTTGATCCCGCATTAACGGGCAACAATATTACAGATGTTATGAAATCAAAATATGTTTATATGAAACATGCTAATATTGAACGAAGGTCCAATATTTAAACAAGTATGAAAATTCACTTGGTTGTAACTTTAGACCCACCTAGATGAAGGTATCAAAAAAAAAAAAAAAAAAAAAAAAGAAGATAGAGTGCACTAGACATCAAATCAGAAAGTACAAAAAGTGTTAGGAGATGCTTTCAATGTTATGGTTTGACCAAACCAAAACTTTTGTTCTGGTGCTTCTGTAACAAATGCAGTCATGAAGGACGTACAGTGTGCAAACTGCCCAGCAAATGAACCTAAGTGCAATAACTGCACTACAGTAAACGCCTTGCACTTAATACTAGACAAAAAGTACTTATAAAGGCTGTCCTTGTTTTATAAAGCATCTTGATTTGTTAACTGAAGACTTATTGTGGATTATAAGTCTATGGATATGAGGTTACGTCAAATCATTCTTCATCATGCAGTTAAGGGCACTGATTAATTAAAGGTACAGGTTACTTAACGAGAAATACAGATTTCCCATGTACAAGAATCATATGCTTATCAAGGCAAATTCTATGATTTCCCACTTATAGTTAAAACGTATTGTAATAGAAATGTGAAAATATGCTCGGTCATTTTTGTGTTCGATGAAAGTTTGTAGATATTACAGAATTATATCTTTAAAGATATTGTGGCAATTCTGATTGAAGACGACAGCCCATGTGTAAAACAACATAGTATTTCCCTCCCTCAGAGAGTATAGGTGATCATTTGCAAACTCTGGCATCTTTATTGGAAAGATTTAGAACTATTTCTTTAATGATTCACGTTGATTTAAATAGCAAGCATTCCCTGTGGGGTCGATACCAGACGGATATAAGAAGAAACAAATTGGCTGAATGACTTCTGAGAAATGATTTTATTGGAAATAATAACAGATACAGTTTGCTCACTTCCTCATATGTGTTGGGTAAGTCATGGCTTTATATCGCAGCTTCAAGGCTGATTAATTATACTGAAATGTGTAATTGGCAAGTTTGCACTACATTGGTTTGAGTGATCATAATTTTATTTTATTTGAAATTAGTATTATCGGCTCCCAGGAGTTTTATAAATTCCGACTTAGGCTAACACATCTTAATTGGATTATTCTCAAGGAAATGATGTTTGAGAAGTTTTCACATGCGAAATTTGGAGAGGATACAGAAAGCACTGCCCAAGATATAAATTCGATTATTTAAGATATTTCCGAAGAGACACCTCTGAATTACAGTTTTAGCTCAAGTATTACGAAAACTTTTCTCCATCGTATAGCTATAATCTGAGTATAGAAAAGAAAAAAAGTGAAAACACTTATAAGAAAATACCAGCATTCAATCGATAATCAAAGAGTGTATCAAAGACGTTTATGCAACAAATATCTGGCTCTGAATAGAACTAATATTAGATATGCAAAAGAAAACTATTGGAATGAATTTTGGGGGAATATATCTGTGCTAAGACCGTTCGGTATTCATTTTAGGATTGCCATAGATAGGCAATTAAATTTAACTACTTTAACTGCAACAAGGAAACGTGATGGTTCAATGACTAACAATATAAAGAAAGCTTTTGAACAGATTTTCACTTTACAGAAGATAAAGAACATGACGATGAGGATGTATATTGTGAAATTTGAAATATGACAAGCACCTACCCAGTTTCAGACAAAGATTTCCCATTCAATATACAGGAAATTCAACAAGCTTTCGGAGATTAAAAAAAAAAAAAAATAAATAACGCCCCGTGCCCAGACACCCTGTGCCACCCCTCTGGAGACTTTTTAAGAAACTATTTTCTGCCAATAAAAATTTCATCCTGGATCTGTTTAAAAATTGTTTAAGGGAGGAATATTTTTGCGATGCTTGGAAATTTGGAAGACTCATGCTGTTCTCAAAACCATATAAACAACCTGAGCATACCGCATCATACAGATCTGTCTGTCTGTAAGATGGGCAAAGTTTTGGAATGTTACTGGATCAACATTGGGCACTGTTTTACAATACAAACATTGGGCCCTGTTTTACAATACAAACATTGGGGCTTGTTTTACAATACAAACATTAGACCCTGTTTTACAAGTCTAAAACAATAGACTTGTAAATTTTCTGTGGAATAATAATTTTATGCATGCAAATTGATTTGGATTTACTCCAGGAAGAGATATGATGATGACAATAGAAAAAATTATTGAAAGTGTCAAGATAGTAAAATCAAAAATCTTCATACGGTTTCATTATATTATTGATGTAAGAAATGCTTTCTATAGTTTATGGTTAAAAAAACACAGAAACTAGGCTCATAAATATGAACTGCTCTAGAAATTTTATAATATCATTTAATATCATTGCAAGGTATTTGGATAATCGTCATATCGTATATAAAAAGAACAATATACTCATTTCAAAATCTTATTGTAAGGGAGATCCAAGGGGTTCTATTTTGGGGCCCACTCTTCAGGACATTGTTGATGATTTTGAGTTACAACTAGATTTTAACGAGGAAGTCGTCTTACAGCTTATGCAGATGACTTCGCACTAGTTGTAAATAATAGAATGTTAATAGAAGAAAACGTCAAATTAGATAAAATTTATCAGTGGTACAAGTTAAACAAATTAGATATTAATCATGAGAAGATATTTATGCTGACATTTCCAAAGGGCACCTCTTTGAGTAGGCCACCCATGCTAACGTGGAATGGACTAAAGATCAAGAGCGGTAAAACACTCAGATATTTAGGAATAATTATAAGTGTGAATATAAGCTGGCTGCCTCATCTGGCAATACTCAGAGAAAAAATATTCGAAGCCGTCAGCAAATTAAATAGGCTCATTAAAAAAAATTCGTATAAGAATAAAAGTATATTGAAAGTATTATATAAAAGAGGAATCAGAACACCAGTCTGGTAGACAGCCACCGAAAAGATTAGAATAAAAATACTTCAGATTCAAAGAATAGCCCCGTAATATTCAATTACAGGTTGTTATAGAATCTTCTCAACAGCGAGTCTACAGGTTCTGGTTTGTGTCGCTCCTATTAGATTTGATTGCTTATGCTGAAATGCAGAAATCATCAGATGTGGGGCAAAATATTGATTGTTATGATTTAAATATTTTAAACAATGATATTGAGATATTTATACTGGGAAAATATTATTCCCATCCGGCGAAATGTAAACAGGTTATCTGGAAAAACATTATTGACAAAGGAACAAGTTTGGAAATTTATACACATGTCATGACATAAATTGTATTTTTCTTCGATTAATACGTATTACTTTTTGTTATACATTCTTTACTCTGAATAAGGCCGAGATGACCTGTTAGCGGGCACAACGCATCTTCTCGGAGATTGAGTCGAGGGACGAGCTGTAACGTTTCAGTTTAGTTTGCCAGTCATTTTTGATTTAGTTAGTTCTTTAGTTGCCGGTTATGCATATGGTGGTACGGCTTATTTTATTAGACTGAGGTTACCATATATTAATTGTAGTTAAACTAAATACATATTAAAAGACTTCATGATGTGTCTGTTCTTCGAGATATGTGCAGCGGTTGTGTTATAAAACTCACATTTCTATTAGCAGCTATTTTACACTTACAAAGAATAACAGTTGTATAGCTATTAGCTAGTTATTAAAACACGGACTTATTTTTAAATTGCGAATCAAGGAAATAAGTTTAAGAGCACATAAATATTTAAAACTTACCGCGGCTGCTTCTAGAACTACTGAGAATTGTCTTCTGGAAACTTCTTGAACATCTCTTATAAATTCTTGATATTCTTTCCGAACTGGAACACGAACAGATATGATCATGAGGGATTCATATATGTTGCGGGCATCCTGTTATAAATATGATTGTATATCATTTCAGTTTATGTATTCGAAATTCACCAAAATAATAAATGAAACCAGTTACTAAATTTTCATGATTGTTAAGTATACTTTATTAATTTAATTGAAATATTTTATGTGTAAGTTAAACAGTTGAAACAATGTTTTATTTGTTCCAACTTATTTTATTTTTATTTATTTAACTTAGCGTAGCATGCTACAGATTTTGAGGTTTGAAATATTTTACTGCTGTTTATTAAAAAATTAATATATGTGTCTATTAATCAAAATCGTAAAAACAACCTTGTATTTAGCGTAGGTATAATGAAACATTCAATCGATTTCGAGGGCAGCTAAAGGTCCCTCCTCATCAGGAGAAAGAAATACTTAGAAAGAAGAAAATAAAGGAGTCACAGAAACACGTGGTCCTTATCAGCACTGCACGTGGTTATAACTAGATTTTTAATCAGAGTTGCACTGGCCGCCTACTTTTACTGAGCCAGGCTATCTGATCAAGCATAAAGATATATTGGCCAAACAAAAAGAGCGTTGAAGCTTCGTATCAAGAAACATGAATCTTATGTCAGAAAAGGCGAAATTAACAAGTCTTCAATAGCGTATCATAGTTGGACTTTTAACCATAATTTTGATTTTGGGTCTGCAAAAATAATCCAAAAGGCTTCTTCCATAGGTAAATTGGATTTTCTTGAGGCTTTTCACATTCACAAAGATTTAGCAGGTTTAGTTAATGATTTGAAGTCCAATCCAGTCCTTCCTAATGCCTTTAAAATTCTACTATCTTAATTCAGTTATTTTTGCCGATAGATGGCGTTACCTCCTCGCGTTTGGTACTACCAGAGGGTATAAAAATCCGTTCAGTGGTTGCTTTCCATTATTTGAAGTTCAGATTTTGAGCGTAAGGTGCATTTGCCCCTCGCTCCCTATTTTAACTTCGCTAATTTTTTCTCGTCCTTTATGCTTGATCAGGTAGCCTGGCTCAGTAAAAGTAGGCGGCCAGTGCAACTCTGATTAAAAATCTAGTTATAACCACGTGCAGTGCTGATAAGGACCACGTGTTTCTGTGACTCCTTTATTTTCTTCTTTCTAAGTATTTCTTTCTCCTGATGAGGAGGGACCTTTAGCTGCCCTCGAAATCGATTGAATGTTTCATTATACCTACGCTAAATACAAGGTTGATTTTGATAGTCACATTAGTGTGTTTCTCTTCTAGTCTATGTGTCTATTAATCTGTTAGTTCTTCTTTTGTTTCAAGTTTAAGATATTTTTGTTGCAATCTAATAACCAAATATCGCAACAAAAATATCTTAAACTTGAAACAAAAGTGAAGTATGCAAAATAAGTTTAAGGTAAAAGAATAACCATGAGAAAATGCTTTTATAGTCGAAGTAAATAGTTTTCATATAAAACAATGATATATAAGTAAGCAATAATAAAACAAAATTTTATTAGATTATTAGCAGGCGTGACAAAGGCGACTCCGTAAATCAGTGACACAAAACTATAAGAAAAGTAAAATTTTATCTACCATAGATTTCCCTAAATAAGCTGACAAAATTTAGTAAACTTTTTACTACTAAAACCTGAGAGACGGCATATATATGAATTCAAAAAAAATTTATAAATAATTTGATCACCAAAATGATACTATCAGTTAAATAATTGTTTTTTTTTTTTTTTATTTTATTTGACCATAATACATATTAAACATATTCCTAACTTAAAAATTTTTACCATCTCTTGGACGTCTCTCTTTGCTAGAATCAAGTCTGGTTGTCTGCCATTATCTTTCTTTTCATTATTAACAATTTTGTCTTTCGCGTCATAGATAATATCGTCTTCAGCTTAGTAAAATTAGCATTGCTTAGCATAGCGTAGCATTGCTTAGTAATAGCGTAGCATTGCTTAGTAAAAGCATAGCGTAGCATTGCTTAGTAAAAGTGGTGACTTTTAATTCAAAGAACTGAAAGAAAACGATTTAGCCCTCGTACCTTTCATGGTTTCCATTTCCAGGAGAAAAGAAAATTCGCCATGCTGTAATCAAAGCATCAAATGATGTGCATGCCTTAAAGCCGAAACTATTAGCGTCAAATGAGCTTCCTGCAATGTTCTCACCTCTGTTGGGGCGAGAACATTGCGCTGAATTGAACTCGCCCTTTCAAATTCAAAAATCATATACACTCTGAAACCAAAAAATATACGCACGCAGAAAAAAATCGAGCCACGATCAGGAAAATCGGCAGGAATGTAGTCTGGTAAGAGATATGCAATTGTTTAAATTTCGAAGCCAACAAGACAAAAGTAAGCGTGCTATGCGCATATGAGATGCGCAGCTGGGAGAGTTTAAAAGCATGATTGCTAGTACCCGAGCAGGATTACGTCATTCAAAATTGGATGGCTCTAGGTGCCGTTGTTTTATCACAATAGGAGAAACATACATACATTTATGCAGATTCTTCACTATTTAATTTCTTCAAATATAATACAGGGCGACAGTATTTGATGGCAACTATTTGAAAAGTGATACGCCGTTTATAGGGTTCCGACGCAAAATGGCAAGACGAAAACAACTGTCCTTCAGGGACAGCCCTTTGGACAAAAGAAAAAAGTGGATAGTTTTAATATTTCGTGCTCTACTGGACCGATTGTTGAACTTTAACTTGCGTTTCCCATGTCTCGAAAGCGCGACTTAGGATATATATTAGCTTTATATATAGCATTGTAAGATTCCAAACTTTGAATATACTGCAATGTGTATGGAACGTTGAGAACTGATAAGCGAATAATCGCTAAATTCAGAGAGATAGAAATGTAAGCGTATGAAGGGAATGAATTTACGAAGGGAGAGATAGAGACAAACGTTACCCTTTATTTTTCAAAATAAATTTAACAGACGACTCCTTCTTGGAGTTACAATGAAGCTTCCACTTGGGTTTGAACTCAGGAATAATATACAATAAAACTTAACTAACTTAACTAAAAATATATAGCCGAAGCTATCAAAATTCTAACAGAATTGGCCCCTTAACGCGAACTAAAGGCGAAGCTATCAAGGGCCTAATGTACGGCCGAGCGTAATAATAGCTTAGAGAGTAGCCTAAAAGGGGAACGCGCGCTAGCCAGAATCTCTGGCTCTCTCACGAAGTCAGTAGAGCTTCACAGTTAAATACTTCTCCTGATTTGCATTCAAACGCGATTCTGAAGTTGTAAGCTGAAATTAAGGAAAGATAAGAAAGTAACTTTAACTCAAAATTAACTTCTAGAAAAATTAAGATAATCCTTACAGCATTATTCTAACATAGATATTTTGACGCATAACTTTTCTGTTCTGGACTTTTTCTGAGATAACATAGCAATTTTTTTCCATATTTCGATTCTGCGACTCAGATTATGCCTAGATATTAAATTTTGTGATTTTTGGTGAGAAATTTATGGAAAAATTTAAAAAATTACCTTGGCGCATATATATATATATATATATATATATATTATTTTTCCCCCAGTTTGCGCCGAGAATACTTCACTTGGCGAACTCCTCAATTTATAGCAACCTATTTTCCTTTCCTTTTTTTCACAGAACACGAGAGGAAACACGGTCATCGTTCATACTTTCAAATAATCTTAACAAAGTGCGTAAAACACATTTGGCTTTATTACCGCTTATAACAAATATGGCAAATTTCAAAACGCGCCAATACGTAAATTCACGTATATCTTAGGAAATTTTGAATAAAAAACTCTAATTTTTTGCAGGCATGCTTATAAATTCTTCTACTTTAAGATGATGGGAAAGATTTTATAGGTTATTATTCAAAATAATTTTCGAAAAATTTATAAAAATTATTTTATAATAATTAAGATAAATCTTTAAAATACAAATTTTAAAATAAATCATAAAAAAATGGGCGAATTTCATTTGGACTGAATCTAAATTTCGAAATGGGAAAGGAAGAATCACAAATAAGTTTAATAAAAAAGAGATATTAATAAATATATACCAAATTTAATTAACATGGAGGAGCTAAATTTTGAGAACTAATTTTTTAAAACTACTCGTTCGATTTTTAAAAACCTTGGCACTTTGGCATAATTTGAGTCGTAGAATCGAACTACGAATTACTACTAATGGAAAAAATTGGTATGATATTTCAGAATTGTGTCAAAATACATATGTTAGAACAATGCTGCATATAAATCTAATATATATCCTAAGTCGCGCTTTCGAGACATGGAAAACGCAAATTAAATTTCGACAATCCGTCCAGTATGGAACGAAAGCTATAGAACTGTCTCACTTTTTTTTCTTTGTCCCCACTTTTGTTTCCCTCTCTCTCTCTTTTTTTTTTTTTTTTTTTTTTTTTTTTTTTTTTCTGTACACTAGTGTAATATTCCTCCCAGATTTCTTGAAATGCTTACTATTTTAGCAAAAGATAAATGGAAAGATTTCCTTCACTGCTCATTTTCCCACAACTATATTAAATTTAATTGCACTATTTTCAAACAAATCAATACCACTATCGGAACTAATTTCTCTTCACAAATCTGCAATTTATACCCATTTATGAAAGAATATCAATTTCGGAAACCTCTGGACAATACTAATTTACAGCTGTTTGCCAGTGCCTAGAAGTACACAGACGACATTATTGCTTTCAATAATTATCCACCTATTGAGAAATTTGATATGCACCCTTCTTGTTTGATAAACTATTACAAGTCAACACGAAATAGATTTTCTTAACCTCCAGATTACTCAATACAGTAAAATTAAACTGTTATATAAAAGAAGAGAATTTAAACTTACTACTATTAAACTCATTAACTGGCAAACCAACTTATCAAGAAAAGTTATTAACAGCACAATAATCGAGCAAATTAATAGAATTAAAAATACCTGAATAGAAATAGATTATTTAAAAGTTGAACTAATTTTACTCACGCGAGTTGTTATGGATAATCAAATTCCTTGCCGAATTTTCAATTATTCACTTAATAAATCAGGCGTTCATATTCAAATTTAATCTTTAAACTAAGTTACGATGATTAAATCTATTTTAAAAGTTAAGATATGGATTTATCTTAAACCATCGACGGAGAATAAGATCGGGAGTTTTGATAGCCTTGAATTGAGAATAAATATAATTTGTATTTAATTGTAAATTACTTTAATGTACAACTACTTTCCTTTATAAATAGAAAGCCGTTTAGTTTCCAGAGTCTCAAATTCAAGGTGAAGACTTTTGACTGTTATTTTTACGATTTTCTATTTCCTTGACTTTCAGCTAGAAATATCCTGATTTATTTTTTAAAATATAAAGCAATTTATAACATAATGGCCAAAAGGAAATAAAAGCGCTCACCTACCATTCACATCCTCACACGTACCATTCGAATTTTCATAGTCTACAGCCAATCGGCCCATCAGCAGCCGAGCGGTATAGTCGCTGAGCACTGATAGTTCGGTCCGAGGTTCGAATCCCTCGAACGGACTAGCTGCATGGGTGTTTTCGTGTTTTTCCCCATGTGTAACGTTTATACGGGCCAGTTTTCCTTATAAAATCATCCACGAAGGCATCCCTTCCTTCAGGCAGATAGCCCTCGAATGCTTTACCGTAACCGAGTAAACCAAACCAAACCAAACCTACAGCCAATCAGTTGAACTTCATTCGAATTGATTTCTCGCTATTCCTATATACGTATACAGCCTTAATAGTCTCTCCCAACTTTTTTATTGTAAACCTCAGCGAAACTCAAACGTCGGTTCCAACGAATATCATTTTCGATTATAAAATTCATAATTGCAGCCATGGAATTTAAACTGTCAGTTAGAATTAAAATTATAATTTTTGGCCTTAAATTTTTGTATATGCATGTAATTAAGACATTATAATTATATAATAGTTTTTATTGTATAATATTCTTACACTGTCAATGATTTTTCTAAATTCTCCATCAGGTTTTATAACAGTCTTTTCGTATATATGTATTTCTTTGACTGCGTCGGGGAATTACCTTCATGTTTAAATAACTTTAATTTGTTTCCAAACTTTATATATTCTTTTTCGCGATTAAAAATTTCATTCACACATAAGAAGAAGACTAAACGTGGTCTTGCCCAAATTATTGCGGATTTTTTTAGGGAGTGCTGAATCCATTCGATAAGTCAGCATTCTTCCGGGAAATCGGCAGTAATTTATTCACTTGTTTATATGTGCGCTGTTCAAATTTTAGGCATGCATTATCTTTTTCTTTTTTCTTTTGTTGCAAAATGTATGTTTTTGAGGCATAGGAATACAAATATTAAACTTATTCTAAGATTTTTAACAGTTTTAGCACAGTCCTCTTAAGTATTAGCATTTCATGATTTCAATTAGAAATAAATTAAACTTCATTAAACTTCCTTTCCTAGGAGATAATCATAAATAGAAAATTAATAATTATATATATATATAGAGAGAGAGAGAGAAAGAGAAATATCGAAACGAAGCTTGAAGAAGTATGTGCAAGATATGAAGTTCTTTTTCAGCACTGCATGCTACGATATGGCCGATCACCATGTGTCATCTAACTGATCAATCATATCTAGGGTGCAGTTTGCTTTGTTGTTCAGTTTAAGTCGGTTAACGATTTAAACTGCTGTAGTATTAGAGTATACTACAGCAGTTTTAATCCTAAAGAACGCGTATTAGCTGAGTTTACAAAATGTTCTGTGTATAGAATCGGAAGTTCAAGACTCGACCTCGCTGTCGGTTTCTTTGTAGTTTGTTGGAGGGGACCGCAAGCACACTCTTCCGATATATGACTTCATATATATATATATGACCACGGGCTTCTGGCGTCCGAGAAACAGAAATACTGTCCTTTCGACCTTGCAGGATCGTACAGTCACGCCAACTCTGATTCAGGCACTTGGCTCGTGGGTAGGATGATAAGTATCCCCGCAACGTCTTCAGCACCATGGACTGTCAAAACAGCACCTATTTTTGCGGCTTTCCTTAACGCTGCGGCAGAGGTTTGTTAAAAACCACTGGCAGAGTGACGCGACGAACGGCCGCAATGGACACAGAATAGGCACCATTTCGTCTTTTCAAAATCCCGGTGTTCTGCGTGCAGCATCATTATGGGCGTATTCGTATGTGGAGGCACCGAGAAAAACGAACGTTACGAGTTCCTTCGTCCTCCTCTTACGCGTGCATCACTTGACGTGCTAGTATGGGGTGTCATTAGGTACACATCTTTGTCACTTCCTGTTCCCATAGCCCAGTAATGTGGACAGCCTCCGTTCCACGGCTTGCCAAAAAACTTTCACGCCACCACTCGCTAGTCATAGCGATTGATACATTCTGGCATTGAGTTGAAGCAGCATGGAATGAAGTACTCTCATGTGCCAAATTAAGAGAATTTGAAACTTGTGTCTATTTTTATGAAAGGTATTGAAGCAAAGGTACTAATTATGTCACCGAAGAATTTTTCGAATATTCAGAGTCGAATACATATGCGTGTCTTCGGAGCTGTGTTTATGGAGGGAATATAAACACACGAGGGGTTTTTCGCATGGTACGTTTTCACGACATTCACCGTGTATAAAATAAGTAGCCATGAATGTATGGATGACGGAATGATATGGAGAATTTTCGGTGGATTACAGACAGGCCAATCACAAGCGCAGGTGGCTGCAGAGCTCATCACCCAGTGTTGTCGGCAATTTAGGAAGACAGTTTCACGACCTGAAGTCAAATCAAGACCTGCGTTCGGTCGACCAAGATCCACAACTAATGAATGATCCACAAGGAATAAAAATAGTCACTCGGCCTTTTAGAGCGGCGAACGCAACTTTACAGCTCTTACGTGAGCTGCTTGCTTCCACTGGAACTTGAGTTTCACAGTCTTCAGTTATTCAAAGGCTTGAAGAAGTACGGTTGTAGGTCAGAAGACCCCGCTGTATGCGTTCAGTTCACTACAGCACACAAGAAACGCGTTTAGCATGATGGACAAGATGCGTTTGGACCAGACTTTAGTGGAGTACCGTGCTTTACATATGACTCAAAATTCAGCCTGTATGCTGATGCTTTGCGTAGCTGTATCTGTAGAAAGCCTGAAATCATCCCTTCCTCATCAGGGAAAAGGATCATTACGGTGGTGAACGTGTAATGGTCTGGGCAAGCATTATGCTGGACAGCTACACACCCCAGCACGTGTTAGAAAAAGACTCCGTGACTACTGTAAAGTATAGGAAGGAGATCTTAGAGCAATTTGCTAGACTTTTCAGTGGCGCAGTTGGTCCTTGGTTTCTGTTAATGGGCGAAAGCACACGAGCTTTACTGATAATCATGCAAACATAAAATGACTTTGAATGGTACATCTCTTTCTCTGTCATAAATGCATATTTGTACTGAATTTCATTAAAAATCTATCCATTAGTGTTTCAGAAATTCGACATAATATGCAAATTCTCTTAATTTTGCATACGTTCGTATATGTGTCTGTGATCCAGGCTCATTTCAACGCGATGCCCAATCGGATTACAGCTGTTCTTGCTGCCAGAAATGGCAGCTCTTTATACTGAATCTGCACGCTGTAGCCCATATACGAAGCACATATCTACATAGTTCTCGAAGCACATATACCGTTAAATGTATGCATAGTTACATAAAATTTAACGGTATACTATGAAAATTCCTTCGGAAAATAAGAAACCTCTGACTGCATATTTGAATTCAGAAACGGAAATATTATTGCTTTCATATATTATATAAAATAGCATTTCCATTTCTTTGAGAAAAAGAAAAGTTGTTTGTTATTTTGGAATGCTTAAAAGCAACTACTGACATAGTATGCATTACTCATTTTTATTATTAATTTTAAGAATCACCTTGTTCCTCTTGTCACTTTCTATATACCAGGAGAACTGCTTACTTCCGTCTTTATGCTTCAATAATTCAACTGAGAGAAATGCATATTCTCCATTTCCCATACCTAAATCATAAGCAGAAAGCAGTATTTCTCTCACGACGTTTCCACAGGCCAGAAGGACGAAAACTGAAAGCCAAACGCAAGAATTAATTTGTTATGTAAGCATTTTATTTGTTGCTGATTGATTTAGTAATGTAATTAGCATTTTGAGTGCATAATTTAGAAATTTCACATTTAATTGATGTAAAAATAATTTAATTTCTGGCTTTTATTACTTCGTTTCTGGTTCTATTATTATTAATTTAACCAGTGTGATTTGTAGCTAAATTTACGAATGCTTCACATTGCATAATGTTGAGGTTGACAGTATTCTGAAAGTTGTTGTCCGAGATAAATGTATTTTAAACGTTTTATTGCCAATTTACGCCATTTTAAAGTACAGGAATATGTACAAAGGTTAATTCGATATAGTTTAAAAAACAACCAGCAGTTTAAACACCTTTAACACAGGTATTATCTCAAAACTTTACAAAATTTTACCAGCCAGCAGCTAAAAACAAATTTAACCTCGGGCCCAAACATCATACTAAAGTTAGGGCAGACCACTATATGTATACTAGTTTATGTAACTTAATTAATCTAGTTCATATCACCTATGCCCTGCTATGACACTTCATTATTCCATATACATCATCCTTCTACGAATTATCTTTTCTCAGGAACACTTGCTGCATGTATATATTTTTATTTGTAAATATTATGTATGTCATGTAACTCCAATTCATTGTTGAAATTATGATTGTATGTATCCCACGTCTCTCACGAAGCTATTACGACTCTCACATACTAGAGCAATATTAGGCATTTCTTTTAATACCCTGCCATAATAATTGCATATGCACAACGGTTTGTTACTAGAGCACTTACCTTCGCCTCGAGCCTGCTGCCGCAGGTGTTTCCGTTCGGACTCATCCACATTAGTCTACCGCATCTAATAACTTTCGTATCCCGTTAGACTTCTGTGTTATTTTTTATTCTAAGTGTTCGTACAACTCAAGGACTCGAAAATCGACTATCATTACGCCGGATTAACGATCATACGCGGGCACCCTTTGCTGCGAACTTTTCGAGTTTGCCTGAGCCGACCACTCCAAATTTAAACTGACTTTCTGTCTCTCATGCTGGTTGTTCGCTGGCAATAAGGAAGAAGCCAATTCGCTAACCACGAAGAAATACATGATACATGTTATGAGGATTTTTAAATATATTATGAAATTTATATCGATTCTGTAAACAATAGTTTAACATAATGCTGTTCAAATAACTATTTCCATATGAACAATTTTAGAGTAACTATACTATCGCGAAGCAAAATTCTGTAATTTTTGTTTTGCCAGTTTTAGAGGATTTTCTGGTATTTCGATCATATCAAATGAATTCGCTTGTATCCTCGAATTTCATACTTGATTCTTATTAGTGCCTGATTTTTAAAAAATTTGAATGCTACTTGCATTAGAATTTTAGAAAAAAATGCAAGGCAAAATGAACCTACTTCAAAATTAAATTTGGATTATTCTTCAACCATCTCTAAAATTCTGAATTCTCCTTACTTAGCTGTGCAGTACCCGTGCGATTTTTCATGGCATTTTGCTCCTGTTTTATTAAATCACCATCAGTTTTGAGAATGAGTCTTGTGATAGAAAATACACACCTCAAAAATGCAAGGAAAACAGTAAGGGAACATTTCGTAGAAACAAAAGTTTGTTGCTGTCTTCATGCTCCAAAATATTAGCTAATTATTCAAACTTATATTTTTGACAGAACTCTTCTAAATTCGTTTGGTTGCAGTAAAAAGAAATTAGGAGTACATTACTGATTTTAGGGATTTTTTTAACTAATTGAAGTATTCTTCATTTTTTTTAATCACCATTTTTCCTCTCATCTTTTTTATTTATAACGGGTGAACCAAGTACTTGCGTTATTTGATGAATGGGATGACGGGAGTTAAATATTATTTCTGGATTACATTAATTTAATAAACTTTCATTAGGTTCTAATTTAAATTGCTGATGTATGGAATAGTAATGCTAACGCAAAAAGGAATTGCTTGAAATATGAGTCTTGATTAGCTAACAGTTTCACTCGTACATCTTACAGGTACCCCCTTCTTTGCGAATCCTCATTTGTTTGTATGTGGTACGGGCCTCACATTTTCCAGATTTAATTTTTGACTATTCCGCATTATTCCTTTTAGATTACTTTCTCTGCTTTCAAATAGCGTTATCTGACCATAAGAACAAGTCTGAAGGTTTCTTTCTTTGCTTTTGCTATTGAACTTTTAGTGAAACATCTGCTTTCTTACAAGTATATTGCGTGGCACGTGCTAAAGATTTCGCTTAGGAAAGTCTTCTTACAACTGAATTAAACTTTTATAATCTTATTATTAAAAGCATATGAAAGCTTTTAAGTTATATTGTGGAATTCTTAATTTTCGTTCTTTTCTTGTTTTAAAATTTAGAAAAAATATCTTTCTTGCGCAATTCCTTGTTTTAAAATAAACCATACCGAGACAAAGTATTAAGCTATTACTAAAATTCCAGATATGTAATAAATACGAAATGTAAAGCTCTGTAAAATGCTTACTTTTAGGTGCATTTGTAAAAAAAAAAGCGAACATTACAAGGGTAGATTATATAAAGTAAGTTTACTGCTCATACTTAATTGTACGCAAAACGCCCACATTATAGGAAGTGTTTATATATATACAGGGTGATTATAATTAAAGTTTAAGTTTAAAAACGCTATAAAAAAAGAACCGCTCATGAAAATGACGTCAAATTTGAAAGGAATATTATTGAAGAAGGCGGAAAGCGTATGGCAGAAGAAAAAATTTAGTTTCAAAAGTTAGCAACAGATGGCGCTGCAAGCGGAAGAAGACGTAAATTAAAATGTTAGTTAAATTTCAGTGTTATAAAACTGCCAGGTACCAGGCTGTTCCTCAGTTCGCGTCTCAGACGTTCGCCGTGGGTGTTTCACTGCAGGACCGCGCTCTGCTGGTAAAGTTGTATTACAAGAATGATGATTGTGCAAGAGTAGCTCTGCAAAAATTCAGGACACTGAAGGGTATAAAAGAAGGCGTTGGTCTAATGAGTGTCGTAGGTCTAAAGAAAATGATGCAAAAATTCGAAACGACAGGTTCGTTTGATGTGCAATCTGTTAGAGGGAGAAAACGAGTGCATTCGACGGTAGTTGAAGAAGTGGCCACAGCATTACAGGAGGGGTCGGCCGGTGGTGTGCAACCGTGCAGTGCACGAGGAATTGCTCGAGCATTGGACAGGCCTACGAGCACGGTGCTGAAAATTGTACGAAACATCCTGCAATGCTATCCGTACAAAATTAGCCATGTGCAGGAGTTGCTTCCGTCTGACCTGACAGCTAGGGAGACGTTTGCGTTAGAATTCCTGGCTCGCATGGAAGTGGATAGATGGATTTTGTGGACAGATGAAGCTCATTTCCATCTGACAGGATACATGAATACCCAGCATTGTCGAATATGGGCAACAGAAAATCCACTGCAACGCACCCCGTACCACTTCATCCTGAAAAGGTCACAGTATGGTGTGGTTTTACGGCATCAATTATCCTACAACCATATTTTTTCGAGCAGACGGGTGCTTCCGGTCCTGTTACCGCAACCGTCACTGGTCAGAGGTATGCGTCTCTTTTGCGAAACCACGTGATTCCAGCTCTGCAACAGCGTGGATGTGTGGATGAAATCATTTTTATGCAAGATGGCACTCCTCCGCACATTGCACATCCCGTGAAGCAGCTGCTGAGGCGCCATTTCGGAAATGCTCGAATTATCAGCCGTCATTTCCCTACAGCCTGGCCGTCCCGATCGCCTGATCTTACTCCGTGTGATTTCTGGCTGTGGGGATATCTGAAGGATGTTATGTTCCGTGCTCCAATTGCAAATTCAGCGGAATTAAAGGCACGCATTTCGCAACACATTCTGAACATCACCCTGGAGACACTGCGATCCGTTGTGGAACATGCTGTTTTTCGCTTTCAACTTGTTGCACACAACGGTGGACACCATACTGAACATGTTTTGCGCCAGTCTCGCGACAGTTCCGAACTTCTTTGATGAATGGTTCTTATGCGGTATGTCGCCGCAAAACTCTTGAAACCGATTTGTCCCTTTCGATGTGATATGTACAGTCATGCAAATAAAAGTATTCAACAATTTTAATTTATCAATGTGTTTTAATGTGTAACTTCCACCTTAGCCGTTGTTTTACGAATAATTTCTCGTTTCTCGTCGTGATTCTGCCGCTTTCAGCGCCATCTGTTGCTAACTTTTGAAACTAATTTTTTCTTCTGCCATAACCTTTCCGCCTTCTTCAATAATACTCCTTTCAAATTTCACATCATTTTCATCAGTGGTTCTTTTTTTATAGCGTTTTTAAACTTAAACTTTAATTATAATCACCCTGTATATATATACACAAAATGACCCCTGTAATGTTGTGTATATATATAAATATACTTTGTGTGTATGTGTGTATAGATACTTGAACGTTTAAAAAATATCGACGGTTTTGTGAAATTTGTTGAGCTGGGAAATACAGTAGACTACCGATTATCCGCACAAAACTGAGCGAAACGTTAAATTTGCTAACATCGTGCTTATTTATGGCAAAAATACCCCAGGCCTTCTCGGAACCTTCGCCTAGGCCCCTCTGATGAGTAAGTGATTTCTTATTACTCACCCTTTGCGGTGCTCGCTCCACCGCCCTTTCTCGTCTTAATCTTACTGACACGTCCACTTCCTCCCACTCGCCATTGTTAGTTTAAGCCTGAGAGTATTTGCGAACTGGTCCGAGTTAATTTCTTATCTTTTATTGTGTTCAGTGTTTCGTGCTTTTATGGTTTTGTTTTGTTTTTTCGTTACCGATTTAAAATGTCAGGAAAACGAAAGAAGGTTGTATTGACGATTGCGCAAAAACTAGAATTAATTTCCAAAGTAGCAAACAGGCAGCAGGCTACAAGGCAGCGGGCTACAAGGCAGCAGATGGAATTGGATTACAACAAAATTCGCGGAAACAACAGTGCGTGACATTCTAAAGCAAAATGACAAACTGGTGAAATTTGCATCAATGTCGGACAGTGCTCCCGCAATGAAAACGCGAAAAACTATGAAGGGTTCTACCTTTGATGAGCTAGACACGGCATTGACAGAGTGGTTAGCTCAAGTTCGAAAAGAGGGTACTCCTGTAAATGGTCCTCCTGTCATTGCGGCGAAGGCAAAAACCTTTTTTTTTTTTTTGAGTTGTTAGGCCTGAAAGTAAATTTTGATGCGTCTTCTGGCTGGTTGACTCGTTTTAAGCAGCGACATGGAATTCGAGAAATTGGACTTCATGGGGAGAAACTTAGTGGTGACCAACAAGCAGCCGACGATTTCCACCATGAATTTGAAGAATTTGTTTTAAAAATAGAGCTATCTTTTGAACAAATTTACAATGCCGACGAATCGGGACTTTTGTGGAAATGTCTTCCCACTCTCACTTTAGCATTTGAAAATGAAAGTAAAGCGGCGAGTCATAAAAGCAGCAAGGAAAGGATCACTATCATGTCTTTTAGTAACGCTACCGGTGGACATAAACTTAGACTTGTTATCATTGAAAAGTAAAAAAAAAAAAAACGAGATCTTTCAAAGGCCCAAGGATAGAAAATTTGCCCGTTGATTACTTTAACCAAAAAAAAAAAAAAAAAAAAGGATGGATGAACCGAAACATTTTTCAAGAATGGTTCGAAAACATCTTTTTTCTTCAAGTGCGTAAACATCTTAAATCGGCTATTGATCGACAACGCATCTTCTCACCCAGCAACAAGCGTGTTAAAGTCTTCTGATGGACAAATTTTTGCAAAGTTTATCCCCCCCAAACATTCCTGCGCTAATCCAACCCATGGAACAAGGAGTCATTGCAACAATGAAGATAACATACGGAACTAAGCTGCTAATGACCAAAATTGAAGAAGGTTATGATCTGAAAGAGTTTTGGAAACACTACACAATCTTGGACAGCATCTACGATATTGCATTTGCATGAGACTCAGTGAAACCGTCAACCCTTATAAAATCATGGAGAAAACTCATGCCTAATGTTGAAGCCAACAAAAATCTAACTCCTTTGAGTTGTGAAGAAGAGAATGAAGATGTAGACACGCCCACGGCAACTCTTGCCGATATGGTGAAAACTGTTCCGGGTGAGAACGTCGATGCTGAAAACATTAATGAGTGATTGGAGTGTGACGTCAACGAACCTGGCTTCGAACGCTTGACAGATGACGAAATTGTGAAGAAAGCAAGGGAGAGACCGAGAATAAAGGACAGCGACGTGAAGGCGAAGAGCCCATTGTGCAGATGCAGAAGACGCACGAAGCGGCTTTGCAACAATTCGACGGATTGCTGAGCTATTTGGAAGAACAAGACGACGCGGAGTTGGCCGAGAAAATTATACTACGAAAAATGCAATCTCGGATCAAGAGAAAATGCTTCCAAAGCAAACACAACTGACTGATTTCTTCAAACAGGTGTAGTTTTACAGTTATGCTTTTGTAATTACATAATACATTACAGTATTAAAACAGTACATATGTATTAATTTTTCTGTGTATCCTTGACTCCTCTCGTAGTATACAAAGCACTTTTCTGTTTTCATTAACAAAATATATTTTAGGTTAGTTTTGAGTGATATACTAAAATATTAAGCGTTAGTTAAACATTTTCTGCTGTTTATTTTACGTTTTATTGTATATAAAACGATTTTTCAAAGATAGAATGACTGTTTTTTTCCTTCGCTATACCCGTTTTTAGCTTTTTTTTCGGATTATCCGCGGCGGCCGCGCCACCCGATTCCGCGGATAATCGGGAGTATACTGTAGTTAAAAAAGCGAAATGCAAATAGCATGATAAAATTGCATATTAATATGAAAAAATACATGGAAATCATCCTTGCAATGAATTTAAGGAAGATATTCTAGATTGAAAAAATTAATTTAATCTGAATTTCATTGGATTTATTTAATAACTTAAAATCTATTAACAATTTCATTAAGGAGATTACTTCATTGATTTTAAATAATTTAGTTTACGGTATAAAAAATTAATTAATAATAATGATTAAAACTGTATAAATAAGGATTTAGCGGGTAATTGATTAAAGATTTTTACCAGTTAGTATATTTTATAATCATATATAATGGAGATTTTTAACTTTGATTACTTATTAATTTAATTAATGATTAATGATGTTATTCATGTTTTAATTATTGCTGCTTAGTGATTTAATTTATGATTATTTGAATAATTGGCAATAGTTATGATTATTTCATTAATTTATGATTTAATTCATTAACTTTAAATCATTTCTTAAATTTCATAAAAATTAATCTTTAATAAGATGTATCTCCAGAAATATGCTTTAACTATGTTTATGCGAATTTTACACGAACTGTAATGAAAGTTAGCAAAGTTAACAAAAACAATTTTTTTTATAAAGCCGTTTATTGGTATTTGATGTTACCTGTGACTACACCTGAGCCTATAAGGCAAAATACGGTTTCATCTAATACTTTTTTCGAAAGAAAAATATTAAAAATTACATATAAAATTTATCTACAGAATTCTTGCTCGTAGAGGAGATGACTGTTTAAAATTACTAATGAAATTATAGACTAAAATACAATTGCTAGATTCCTTTTAAATGATTGAGATGTTTATTGCAAAATTACATTTTCTTCACTGCAGTAATACAAGCATTTCTTCATCAGTTTTATTTGGCCGAAGTTAGAGAAAGGTCTTTCATGTACAACATATATTTCATGCCAGTTCTTTGAATTTTTTCTTTGTGCGCAGAAAACTCACAACTGTATGAAAAGTTATCTAAAGCCAAATATAGATCCATCAAACACTGAATAAAGTTTCATTAATGGCTTCCTTTATAGATTTCGTTGGTTCATATTTCGAAAGTGCTGGTTCTGTTGTGTAGGGCAATCCAAAGAACCCAATCGCTGTAACAAAAATCTGTTCCCAAAAAACGAAAAATAGCAATAATATCTGTCTGTTACATTATTGCTACTTTTACAATATATTGTATTATAAATTAAGCAAGAAAAAGTATGAAAAATTTTAATAAATACCCAAACGTGGATAAAAGTGTTTTTTTATATTCATAAAATAAAATAAATACTTAACAGGTAAATAAAAACTGACCGCTTCCCCCCTAAAAACTATGAAATTCCCCTCTTGGTTGAGAACCGCTTGTCTAGATAAAAAAATATCGTTTTTCATTAAAAAAAAAAAGGCTTTAATTGTTGACTGGCTAACATTAAAAGTCAATTAACTTTAATAATATGGTCATATTTACCTCTTGCATGATTACTAGCTTCTCTCAACATTTGCTTATAATTTGGAGAGGCAGATGATACAAACTCTTTGTACACAGGATAGACCTGAAAATTCGTTTCTCTCATGATTAGATTTAAGCTCCGCCGAAGAGCATTCTCTGAAGTTTCTGATTCGTCCACAAATATCACGATGTGTCGCCACTGGAATTCCATAAAAACCTGAAAAAAACAAAATGATCTGGTTTCACATTCCTCCAAATATAATTGCAATAGAAATGAAAAATAATTTCACAAGAAAATCCCATGGAAATTCATTATTTTAATGCGGGACGAGAGGATTTCAACAAATTCTACTAAATAATATGAGGTTTCATATTATTTGGAATGGCCAATACCTATCGTTTATTTAGCCATCTCATAATTGAGAGTTGAGCCAAAGGTGAGAGCCCAAAATGCACAACGGGGGAGGGGGACCGATTTTAAACCATTAAAAATTCTGTTATCATTTTTATAGAAAAACTTATAGAGGAAAATTATATCATAATTTTTATACTGGTCCAATGGATCTTCCCTTTCTTTTTCCCTACCACAAACCACTCGACAAAACTTTCGACTCGCCAGTATTTTAAGTGGTGGCATGCCGTACAGGCAGTATACCATTATAAACATCTAAGCCTTCTGAATTCGATCTCGGACCAACGATACGGCAGCCAGCAGCGCTAATTACTGTACTGAGCACAGGTGGGTGTAAATACATCATATGTATGCAATAGAAACAAACGTATGTATAAAAAAATCATGTGTATGCAAACAAAATTTTAATAATCCAATAACATAAAAATTTCGCAGAAACAAAATCTAAGCTAATAAACAAACCATGTTTGGAGTATTAAGAATATCGAACAGGTGAAGATCATAAATGTATGTAATAAAAACTGAACTCCATTAATATAATTATGTGTGCAATTTCAAATACATTAAACATATTCTGGATATAATTAATGAGCAAAAGAATGTCGGTGTAAAGCAAGCCCCTGTTTTGAACCCACAGTACGTTTTTGCAGGTCAAAATTACATGTATCAAATACTATCTCTTCTACTGAACATGAGAAGACTATAAAATGAGAAAAGTGAGAAATTCCTTTGATAATTTGAAATGCAGTGGTAATTCAGAATATCATGCAATGATAATTTTATCATACAATAACAGCTGTAAAAGGTATTATAAGCCAAATTTATGAAATTATATTTAATAGCAAATTGTTTCAACTGGATCTTAACATCTGTTGTAAATTAGACTAAATATATAAATTTCAAAATACGTAATCATGGAGGTTAAAAGTATTCGGAGTAATGCTTAAAAATATCTTTACTGTCTGTTGAATAGATGGGAAAAATATTAGAGTAAAATGCGATAAATTATAAATTAACATTAGGAATTATAATTTTTGCATCAGTTATGCTTCTCATCTAAATACTATGTGTAACTATTAAGAAAAGCGGTAAACTACTCTTATAAGAACAAAATACACGGAAATAAATTTTAAAAAAACCTAATGAAAGTTTTTTCAAACAGATTTCAGAATACTCTTAGAATATTATTACTACTATAAAAAATATTCTCATTATTCTCTAAATGTGGTTTCTATCCTGCTAAGCCAAAGAATTCTGTAAATAACTTTCAATAATTTCAGGTGATAACAATTTTAAAAATCATTTTTTAATATAAACAGTACGTTTGTTAAATTAACGCTTCTTATTTCTTATTACTTGCGTCAACCACCAGTATTTGCATATAAGTTACTGTATAGTTAAACACCAGATAAAATGCTTTAGTTATTTTACTTATAAGGAAAGTTCACTTTAAACTACTTTCAAACCTTCCCTAAAATTAATAATTGATGTGAAAAAAAATTTAATGACTGGAGACGGGAGCACCTAAATATCAAATTTAGTAATTCATCATGCTATAATGAGATTCGTTAAATTTCGTTCATTTAATATTATCATTAAAAGTAACTTAAACATCGCTCATTACTAGGCAACTTCGAGGTGCTGTATTTACTCGCGTTCTGCTAGTTCTTGCTTAATAAGTGTTGTGTTAAATTGTAAATTCTTTGATTTTTTTAATTTTTAAACATTCTTTTGTTCTTTGTAAAAAACCACATAAACTGAAACCTGGGTGAAGGGCACGCTTACATCAATTCTTTTCTACTACTTATCTGCACTTTTCAAAAATATCTTTAACAGTTCGTAAAATATACTTTTTTAAATATAATTCTAGTCATTAAGTTAGCTTTAATGAAGAATATATAATTCGATACAATGGCTAACAAAATAATCAAATATTTTTATAGTAGCTATTAAAAATGTTAAAACATATTATTTAAACAACAATAGTTTAAAAAACAATTATTGCAAAAATTATACGCTATATTTGCGTTAATTTATCCATATACTTTCTCACTGAATTTCAAACTGCTAAAGTTATTTTTAGTGTACTTATAAAATGAAAGCGATTCACTTCGTAAAATTGTCTTAAAAAATACAGTAAAATACACAAAAATGAAATCCTATAAAAACGTGATGTCGTTTGTAATATTTAATTTATTTAAAAACGTTTACATAATGAGCTATCTCAAATGTATCGAATTATAGAAATCAAGTTGAGAAATTTTTTTTAAAGAAATCTTTCCTATTCAGATCATTTTTCCTAGGTGTATGCTTATACTACGTTTGATTCTGAATCTACATTTCTTGAAAGCATATGAAACGCTTCAGTACAGTTTGAAACAGAACCAAGTCAGACGCATAGAGATTTCTGGTGTATCTTGCAAAATAATTCAGATCTTTGAGATCTGAATTAAGCTGTCTTAAAACAGTAATGTATACAAAAGAGGCGGAAACATCATGACACAATAGGAAATATTTACTGAGAATAATCATGGTAACGAATGTATTAAATGAATTTTTCACAACTAGAAATTACTACTAAAAATTTAGTTTAACACTTCAGATAGCTTTGATCTCTGAATACTAGGAGCTCTATCCGGATTCGAACCCTGGGAAACTGGATAGCTCCATGGACGTTTTTCGCGATTTTTTTCATGCGTAAGTTAAATATGAGCCAGTTTCCCTTAGAAAGTAATCTACGCAAATTTCCCTGAACTTGCCAGTTCCCTGAGTTTCCCTGAACAGAGAGCTTAAGGAGAGTGCTGTACTATATCCAAATAATCTAACCTAGTGGCAAAGCTTTCCTCAATCTGGCCAATTTGGAATACTAAACAGAATAAAAATGTTGCTGCCATTATATTAGTTTCATTAAATATGATGCATTAAAAATTGAAATATGATATATTATGATGCCTGCATGAATGCTGAAATTTAAGTGGATAGTTTTCAAAGACGAGTTTTATTTATTTTGAGGGAAAAGATTCGTGAAAACGAAATAAATATAGGATGCAAAAAAATGCAAAAGTAAGCAGAATATATTAACAAATATAAACCTTATTTTACTTACGTGAAGAATAAAACGACTAACTTGATCAACGGAGAAGGATAATCTAGTTAAAGTGGTGAAAATATTTTTGAGAGAGAATAGGGTATCCACGCCACCAGCTGTGTAAATAGGCACGCCCCAGTATGATGCCATTCTGCTCACTGGATCCAATGCTCTACTACAAGCAGGACCAACGAAAGCAGTTACCCGATTTTTGTAATATTCTTCAGCTGCCAGGACACCAGCATTATTATCAAAACAGGTTTTGGAATCGGTTTTAAGCTTCAGGTTGAATTTAATATTCGGATATAACTTATTGGCTTTCTCCACTCCAAGTAGAACAGCAGCTTGCAGCGACTCCGTGCTTAAATTAAGCTCAGACATCGAGACAAAAATGGCCACAATATCCGCCTCGAAAGAAGTATGTGAAATCTCTGCTAGAACTTGTGGAGCATTCATATGTATCAAATGAATATTCAGACTGTGAATGTATATAAGAAGTAACATATTCTTAATAATTTCCATCAAATATGTCACTTTTCGGATAGAACAGCATTAAATGGAATATGATCCTTAATAGAAATCAGTTCGATGAAAATATTTTGCTTAGTAAATAATGTGAATTGTTGAAAACCTTCACATATACCAGAATTTTTGCCCAGTAAGAACAAGAGTTCTAACCCTTTCGTTGAACACACTATACCAAACCACTATATCTGTACCTGTAGGACAGAAGACTCCATCAGTTTTCTCGCAAAAAAAAAAAAAAAAAAAAAAAGATATAACAGGCAATATTTACGTCTTCTTCCTGAAGTTTACCTGAAGCTTAGATCAAATTAAGTTGGTCCATCTTTATCAAAGAGCTTTCGTGACTGAAGGTTTGCAGAAATGGCGCCTCGACTAAGAAGACACTGATATTCTCAAGTTAGTATTGCGTGAGGATTCTTTGTATTGCGTGATCAAGAAACTATTAGTGTGACCCGATGGCAGTAGATGAGAGAAACAATTTGTATGGATGTCGACAAAAGAGGCAAGGAAACTTTTCATTTGGAAGCTCACTTGTGATTTCTGAAAGTTTGCTGATGACACTAAGTTGTCATTAAAGTCGAAAAAGAATTGCGACATTTCATCGAACAAGAATTGAAATTATTTGAAAAGTTTTTTCCCCGTTAAATAAGAAATGAAACTGTTTGAATAATTTTTATGAATATTTTAATTTTCCATAAATATTGAATTAAAATTATGCATTTTTTTATATTCTGTATTCAAATAATACATGCTCTTAATAAGGCTGTGAGAATGTTTACTAATATATCTTTTCTGGGCTTTTTGAAGATATAAATTTATTAAAATTTGAAATGAATTTCATCACTAATATTAATCACTTTCTACCGCAATTCTCAAGCGGGCAATTCGTTCTAACTTGTGCATGCTGTCATTTTTTATAGTTGATAATTCTATGGTAAGAATCAAATAAAGCCGCTATTATTCTTATTATATGAAAATGATTACATTATAATGCTTATATTAAGTACCAAAATGAAAAAAAAAAAAAAAAAAAATTATAGAGTCTCGTTCTCTAAACTACGATAACTCCACCTAAGATTTATACGACTTATCGCCGTGTCTTGGAAATGCACGTCTTGCGCTTTCTAGCCCGCATTTAGGTCATAAATGAACAAGTAAAAGAATTGAAATGAAAATTGAG